CAATGCCATGGGGACAGGAGAGGTGCCATGGGGACAGGGACTGGGCTATGGGGACAGGGGGACAGGGATGGGGACGTGGGGACGAGGGGGCTGCCATGGGGTCAGTGGGGGTGCTGTGGGGACAGGGACTGGGCTATGGGGACAGGGACTGGGCTATGGGGACAGGGACTGGGCTATGGGGACAGGGACGGTGCCATGGGGATTCTGATGGTGCCATGGGGACAGGGACGGTGCCACAGGGACAGAGGTGACACCAGCTCTGCCCACCCCACCCCGCTGTTCCCTGCAGGACGAGTTCGCTCCCCCTGAGCCCCCTGCCCCTGCCAGCGCTGCCGGGGGGCTCTGGGCACCGTCCCCCCGCTCTCCCCGCGCTGGGAGCGCTCCCTCACGCCATCCCCAGCAATTCCCAGCTGCTGGATTTTGGGAAAAGGAACCTGAGCGAGCTGGAGACGAGGAGGAACCCACAAACAACCCCCACAATAATCATAAACACAATTACAAACCACAACAATAAATCCCTCTGCCAGAGGCCACAAGGATCCTGCTGGGGGAGGCTTTTTTTGAGGGAAAAATCCATTTTTTTTCCACCTCCCAGCCCGAATTCCGTGTCCTGGGAATGGCCTGGGGGGTGTCACACGCACGGCCTGCGCTGCTGAGTGTAAACAGAACATTTCTGCACTAAAAATAACCCTCTCCTCTGAGGAAAGGAGCAGCTGATCCCTGCGAGCCCAGATGCAGGAGCTCAGCAGGGTCAGGTCACCTCTTCTTTCATTAACGCCATCGTTTAATTAGGAATTGCCCCGGGAGCTTCGCCTCCATCAAGAGCTCGTTCTTAAAAATTAAAAAAAAAAATTGATAAAAATTGATAAAGATGGATGAAAATCCAGGTATCAAAGGCAGGCTGGTAAATAACTTTGATGTTTAACAACACCACGGGGCTTTCTGGGGAAGGGAAAGGATTTTTGGCTCTTGTTTAAAATCGCTCCCAGATTACCCAGCGTGGCCTTTTCTCCTCCCAGCTCCACAGAAACCTCGGAAATGCTGGTAATTAAAGTCCAGGCTTTGGGAAGGGTAATTTTGTCTTTGTGGAGGAGGAGGAGGAATCAGAGCTGGGCTGGATTTGCCTCTGGTGGCATTTCCCATTCCCATTCCCACTAAAATTCCCATTTTTTAGGCCGGGCCAGGCCGCAGGGCCGTGGTTTTGGGGCTGAATTCCCATTTTTCTGCTCACAGGGAGAATCTCTGAGACTTTTTCATCCCACTCCTCTCTGCTGATCATTTCCCCCTTTATTAATGATCTGCCTGGGTTTGAATAATTCAATTTAATTTGCCCAAAAGCACCAGGCCTCTCCAGGCCACTGCGCTCGGGAGCGTGTCCCTCAGCCGGGATGGAGCTGCTGACAGGAATTTCTGCTGGCAGACACAAAAATGCAGCTTTGCCACATTTGGAACACAACATTTCCACCTCTGGAAGCACAAAAAATTAGGAAATAAATCCTGGTGAGGGCTGCAGAAGGCTCAGCGGGGATGTGGCGGCGCCGCTGCTTTGAGACCTCCAAAATCCTTCGGAAACGGCTGGAAATTGGTTCAAATCCAATTCCTGGCTGGAATTGGTGCTGTTGGAACAGCTCCAGCGAGGTTTTCTCCTGGCTGAGGCCAGATTTGTGGGAATTGCTGGTGAAAAATGGGATTTCATTAGTGTGGAAGGAGGGAAGGCCGCAGGGGAAGGGCCTCCCACACCCACCCAGCACAGGCCACGAGAAAGGCCTTGCCTTTATTTCCTAAATACTGATTAAAAAAAACATTTCCAGATTATTCTGGCAGGGAAAAGAGCAGCTCCAGCAGCCCTGGGACACAGAAAATGAGGGAATGTGGAGGAAATTTGGGCTCTGAGGGCAAAGGGACACGGCCAGGGCTGCCAGCAGCTCAGGGACAGCCCCAAACTGGGCCAAAACTGGGGAAAATCCCTCAAAAAATCATTCCAAAGCTCAGGAAAAACCTTAATGAGCACTGAATTGAGCAGTGGCAGAGACAGGAACACCCAGAACCTGCTGGGGAGAGGCAGGATCCTCGTGCAGGATCCCAGTGGATCCCTGGGATCAGCTGCACATTCCTCATTTTGTGTCTCACTGAAGGATCTGAACGATTTCGGACCTCCCTGCATCGTTTTTAAACCTCCTGATGTGGTGTTTAGATCTCCTCACGGGATTTTGGACCTCCTCACCTGATTTTTAAACCTCCCCACATGATTTTTAAACCTCCCCACGTGATTTTTAAACCTCCTCACGTGACTTTAGATCTCCCTGCATCATTTTTAAACCTCCTGATGTGGTGTTTACATCTCCTCACGTGATTTTTAAACCGCCTCAGGTGATTTTTATACCTTCCCACATGATTTTTAGACCTCATTGCATCATTTTAAAACCTTCTGACACTGTTTTTAGACCTCCTCACGGGATTTTGGACCTCCTCACCTGATTTTTAAACCTCCTCCCATGATTTTTGGACCTTATCACATGACTTTAGGCCTCCTTGCATTACTTTTAAACCTTCTGCCACAGTTTTTAGACTTCCTCACACAACTTTGAGACCTCCTTGCACGGTTTTAAACCTCCCCACATGATTTTTAAACCTCCTCACCTGATTTTTAAACCTCTTCACATGATTTTAGGTCTTCTCCCATGACTTCAGACCTCCTCCCATGACTTTCAAACCTCCTCCCATGATTTTAAACCTCCTCCCATGATTTTTAACCCTCTTCCTATGATTTTTAGACCTCCTCCCATGATTTTTAGACCTCCTTGCATGATTTTTAACCTCCTCCCATGATTTTAAACCCCCTCCCATGACTTTTAAACCTCCTCCCGTGACTTTTAGACCTCCTCACACCATTTTTACCCCTCCTCACACAACTCTCATCCCCTTGGAGGGTCAGTTCTCTGCTGCAGGCTGAGCTGGAGCCCTCAGGGGCCTCTCTGGGGACACCAAACACAGGAAGAACCAGCAGAAAATCAGATTTTGTGCAGCTGGGGCAGGTTCTGGGGCCAGCAGCACGGAATTCCCTGGAGCTGGGGGAGCTCTGGGAGTGTTTCCCTGGCTGGGAATCCTGCTGGGATGTGCAGGAGCTTGATCAGGAGCTGGGAAAGCTGACTCAGCCAGGCGTGGCACCCACAGAGCAGGGAGACAGGCGAGGCTGCAATCCTGCTGCCAGGATTTCAGGATCCATTCCCAGCTCAGCCGTGGTGGAAAAATCCATGGAAAATCCATTTTTTTCCCCACCCCCAGTGACAGAGATGCAAACCAAACACACCTTGCTGGGAGCTGATCTCTATTTCAGAAGGAGGGAGGAAATATCCAACACTGGCGTGGGGTGGGAAACAAATCCCGAAAAATTTTTGTGTCCTCCCACTCCACTTCCTCCCTTTTCTTCTTAAATACCCTGGAACAAAAAGTTTCTGTGGCAGCTCCAGCCCCAGACAGTCGTGAGAACGCTTCATGCAACAGAAAAATGAAAATAAAGTAAAAACTGAGGGGAAAAAAAGCCCAAACCCGGAGGGGAAGAGCTCTGCAGGTCTGGGAATTCCTGCATTTTCCTGGGAATGGGAAGGGCACGGAGCCACCGGCAGATTCCCGAGGTGCCAGACCTGCTGTGGGATCCTCTGTGGGAACATTCCCAGAAATTCCCAGGATTTCTGCTGCCTTCGCCGGGTTTAGAGCGGGAAAAAAACATCCCCAAATCCATCCAAATCCAGCCAAATCCATCCAAATCCAGCCAAATCCAGCCAAACCCATCCAAATCCACCCAAATCCATCCCTGCTCCCAGTCCATGGGCTCTGGGAGTGGCACAGGAGAGGGACACAATTCCCACCATTTCCACAATCCCGGATTTCCACCATTTCCACAATTCCAGTTTTCCACGGGCCTCCCTCAGGCTCAATCCCAAAGGCTGGACAGCATCTAGGAGAACTCCCAGATTTCTGGGATAACTCCCAAATTTCTGGGATAACTCCCAGATTTCTGGGATAACTCCCAGATTTCTGGGATAACTCACAAATTTCTGGGATAACCCCCAAACTTCTGCTCTAAGTCCTGGATTTTAGGGATAACTCCCAGATTTCTGGGATAACTCCCATATTTTAGGTGCAACACCCAAATTTCTGGGATAACCTCCAAATTGCTGGGATAACTCCCAGATTTCTGGGATAACCCCTGAATTTCTGGGATAACCCCTGAGTTTCTGGGATAACTCCTGAATTTCTGGGATAACCCCTGAGTTTCTGGGATAACCCCTGAGTTTCTGGGATAACTCCTGAATTTCTGGGATAATCCCTGAATTTCTGGGATAACCCCTGAATTTCTGGGATAATCCCTGAATTTCTGGGATAACCCCTGAATTTCTGGGATAACTCCTGAGTTTCTGGGACAATCCCTGAATTTCTGGGACAGCTCCCCACCCTCCCCCAGGCCCCTCAGGGCACCGATCCCAGCGTGTTCCCGACTCCTCCTGCTCTCCTTGAATCCAGCTGGGACCTGTCCCCGTCACACGGAGCAGGACATCCCCGGGGGCTGCTTCCCAAAAATAAAAAGGAAAAAAAAAAATTAAAAATTAAAAAAAAAAAGCCCCCAAAAAAACCTCCAAGAGCACCTGGGATTTGCTCCATTTAATTCCAATTATCCGCAGCCCTCGGAGGCCAGGAGCGACGCCAAGCCCAGGCCGTGCCCTGAGGGATGTCCCACTTCCCAAATTCACCTGCCCCGAAGTTTTCACCCGTAAAAAGGTAAAAAGGTTTTTTTTTTGTTTGACTTTCCCAGGCTTTTCCTGCAGTTTTGCCTCTGGAGGAGCAGTGGGAAGGACTCGGGGTCACCTTGGGATGCTCCAGGCAGTGCCCAGGATGGAGGGAAAAGCAGGAATTTCTCCTCCCTCCCTCCCTCCCCAGGTGGCTGATTTGCAAAAGTGGTTTCCTAAAAAATAAAACTACAGAGAAAAGAAATAAACCCAGACTGAGGCTGCTGGGCCCTTTCCCCACAGGAAATGTAAAAACCTGGGGGCCACGGTGGCAGCAGGGAGCTGGCAGGGCACAGCTGGCACATCTGGGCCGTGCCACGGCCAAGGAGAGCCAGAGAGCGCTGGCTGGGACTCCAGGAGCTCCCTGGAGAGGATTTGGGGGTTCAGGTGCTCCCTGGAGAGGATTTGGGGGTTCAGGTGCTCTCTAGAGATGATTTGGGTGCTCCCTGGCGTGGATTTGGGGGTTCAGGTGCTCCCTGGAGAGGATTCAGATGCTCCCTGGAGAGGATTTGGGGGTTCTGGTGCTCTCTAGAGAGGATTTAGGGACTTCAGGTGCTCCCTGGAGAGGATTTGGGGGTTCTGGTGCTCTCTAGAGAGGATTTGTGGGTCCAGGTGCCCCCTGGAGAGGATTTGGGTGCTCCCTAGAGAGGATTTGTGGGTCCAGGTGCTCCCTGGAGTGGATTTGTGGGTCCAGGTGCTCCCTGGAGATGATTTGGGCGCTCCCTGGAGAGAGTTCAGGAGCTCAGGTCCTCTGTGCCCTGCTCTGGGGGCTCGCTGGGCAGCGAGTGGCTGCTCTGGTGTGCTCTCTGTGCAGGCAGCTGCTGGTGGGGTGGCAAATCCTGCCCGGCCGGGCGCTGAGGCCGCTCCGTGCCCTCCGGAGCTGTCGGTGCCCGGGCCCAGCTGGGGCTGCCCCTGCTCCGGGGGGCTCCTCCGCCTCTGGAGCTGCTCAGTTGCTCTCCACCAGCTTGGCCAGCCCCTGCCTGAGCTCGCTGAGCTCGAAGATCTTCACATCCATGATCTCGGCCACCTTGGTGACCTCGCTGTGCATCTTCTCCCTCTCGGCCAGGCTCTCTGCCAGGGTCTGCTCAGCCAGGTGAAGGCGCTGCTCCAGCTCCGTGTTCCGGGCCTCCAGCTCCTGCAGGGACAGGTGGAGTGCTCAGAGCCCCTCGTGTCCCTGGCCAGCCAGCCCAGGGCCACCCAGTGTCCCCAGAGCTCCTTCCCTCAGGGGTGTTCCCTATCCTGAGGCACCGTCTGGGAGCTCTGGCCCCAAACCTGTGGTGTGAGGGTGTGGAACTGCAGCTCTGCCCTCATGGATCCTCCCCAGCCTGGGGGGATTGGCTCTGGATGTCCCCAGCCTGGGGGGGATTGGCCCTGGATGTCCCCAGCCTGGGGGGATTGGCCCTGGATGTCCCCAGCCTGGGGGGGATTGGCCCTGGATATCCCCAGCCTGGGGGGGATTGGCCCTGGATGTCCCCAGCCTGGGTGGGATTGGCTCTGGAGCTGCTCTGGATGCTTTCCAGCCCGGTGGGATTGCCTCTGGGTGTCCCCAGGTTGGTGGGATTGGCCCTGGATGTCCCCAGCCCGGTGGGATTGGCTCTGGGTGTCCCCAAGTTGGTGGGATTGGCCCTGGATGTCCCCAGGCCCTGGAGCTGCTCCTGCCATGGGAAGCCGTGAGGGTCTCCAGAGCTCTGGGATAAATGTGGCTTCATCTCCCCCAAGAGCTGCTCCAGCTGTGTCCCTGCCACCCCCAGCAGGAATTCCAGAACTCTGAGGGTGGAGAGGAGCAGGACAACCCCAAATTCTGCCACAATCCCACGCCAGGAGCTGCTGCAAGTGCTCAAGGAAATAAAAGTGAGGCCGGGACAGCTGCTGGCCCCGTGTCACACCCCAAGGGACACGGGGAGGGTGGCAGAGGGCAGGGGACAGCGAGGAGCTGCTCCAGGCCTCCAGAGGGGCTCTCCAGCATTCCCTCCACGGCTCCAGGGAGAAGCTGGGATGGATCTGGGAGCTGGGGTGCCCCAAAAGTGCCGCCTTTACCTGCAGCTTCTGCAGCGTCTCCTCGCGCTCCCCCTCGGCCTCCCAGCGGCCGCACTTCTGGCTCTTCAGCATCTGGATCTCCTGGGGCACACAGGGATTGACATTTCAGCTGCTCTGCTTCCCAAATCCTGTCCTGCTGTGGATAACCTTGAGATTTTCCCTTTTCTGGTTCTCAGATCCTGTCCTGCTGTTGAATCCTTGAGATTTTCCCTTTTTAACTTTTCAAACCCTGTCCTGCTGTTGGATCCTTGAGATTTTCCCTTTTCTGGTTCCCAAATCCTGCTCAGCATCAGCTCCCAGCTCTAAACTCCATCTGGAATTGTGTCTGGAGTTCTGGAATTGTGTCTGGAGCTGTGTCCAGAGTTCTGGAATTGTGTCTGGAATTGTGTCCCGGTGTTTTGGGCAGACAAAACAACCCCTCTGTGATCCAAGGCCACCTCACCTCAACCAAAGTGGATTTTTGGGGAGCTAGCTGGGGGAACGGGGCTTCACCCACTTGAAGGTGATTAATTAATCAGTAATTAATTTGGTGATTGGTTAACCTGGGGGTTAATCAGGATTAAAGGCTGATTTTGTAAATCAGCCGAGAATTTTCTGGAAAGCTCCATGGCCGGTTTTGGCTGCAGCCCCTTGGGGAGGTTTCCTCTGCCCTTAAACGCTGCCTTTCATTAAACACATCCACTTTTATTTTTGAATTTTGTCTGGGCCCTGTTTCCAGGTAAATCCCATTCCAGAATGTGGTTTAACCTAGTTAGATTTTAGTTAAATTAAAAAACCAAACTAAACTCACCACACAGACCCTCCCCTCTGCTCTGCCCCACCTCCAGGCCTGGGAGGGGAAGGCTGAGAGGGATCTGCAAAGCTCCTGAGCCTCGAGTTCCCAACTCTTCCGTGTCCTCAGCTTTTCCCCCTGGCTTGGGAATGTGATGGGAACAGCTCTGCTGGATTTCCTGGCAGCCTCACCTCATCCTTAGCCTTGAGCAGCAGCTCCAGCTCCTCCAGGGTCTGGCTCAGCTCCTCCTTGTTGTTGTCGCTGGAGGAATCCTGCGTCCCCTGCGACTCCAGCTCTGCCACCTGCACGGGGAGATTCCCTGAGAGCTGCAGGAATTCCCTGGCTCCTCATCCCCACCACCTTGGATTCCCTGCAAACCCACCTGGATTCACAGCACCTCCCGCTTGGGGCTGGGAGGGAAAGAAAAATTCCTTCTGAAACATTTTGTGGCTAAAAAAATTCAGTTTGCACCCTCTGTCTGTGCTTTCTGCAGAGATTCTGTGCTGAACTGGGCTCCAGCCTGAAAATCCAGCTCCATGTACACCCTGGGCAGAGATTCCCAAAATCCGGCTGAGCTGGAAGGGTTTGCCCAAGCCCTGAAAAATTCAGCTGGGTGCCTTGGATTATTCATGAGGGGATTCATTTTTAAAAGGCTGCGGCAGCTTTTGCTTTTTGGGCTGTTCTGAGCTCTGCAGACTCCTCCAGAGATGAGGAGCGGATCCTGCTGCTCCGGGAACGGGATAGATCCCAGCTCTGGAGCTGTCAGGATCACGGTGCCGGCCAAAATCCAACAAAATTCTCAGATTTAGGGGCAATAATCCAGATGTTTTCCTGAGTTACTGGTTTTTAACTGTGATCCTGACACGGTTCTGGTGCTGTCCTCCACCTGAGGCTCCCCAAATCCTCTCTCCCAGCTCCCAGCTAGCAGGGAATCCTGAGGGATGGATGTTGGAATTCTGAGGGATGGATGTTGGAATCCTGAGGGATGGATGTTGGGAATCCTGAGGGACGGATGTTGGAATCCTGAGGGATGGATGTTGGAATTCTGAGGGATGGATGTTGGAATTCTGAGGGATGGATGTTTGGAATCAGGCCTCAGGAATCCTGAGGGATGGATGTTGGAATTCTGAGGGATGGATGTTGGAATCCTGAGGGATGGATATTGGGAATCAGGCCCCAGGAATCCTGAGGAATGCCTGAGGGATGGATTTGGAATCAGGCCTCAGGAATCCTGAGGGATGGATGTTGGAATCCTGAGGGATGGATAGTTGGGAATCAGGCCCCAGGAATCCTGAGGGATGGATGTTGGAATCCTGAGGGATGGATGTTGGGAATCAGGCCCCAGGAACTCTGAGGGATGGATGTTGGAATTCTGAGGGATGGATAATGGGAATCAGGCCTCAGGAATCCTGAGGGATGGATGTTGGAATCCTGAGGGATGGATGTTGGAATCAGGCCTCAGGAATTCTGAGGGATGGATGTTGGAATCCTGAGGGATGGATAATGGGAATCAGGCCCCAGGAATCCTGAGGGATGGATGTTTGGAATCAGGCCTCAGGAATCCTGAGGGATGGATGCTTACTGCACACCCGGCCATCGAGTGCAAACAGCTGTTAATTGAGCTGTTAATTGAGCTGTTAATTGCTCTAAATCCCCGCTGGCTCTTAAATGAGCCACCTCCAAGCTCGAGCAGCCTCACAGCTCCTGCTCCAGGGCTCCCAGGCCTTTCCCAGCTCTCCTAAAACGCCTTTCCCGGGATCAAATCTTCCCGATCCCCAGTGCCCTCCTGGATCCCGTTATTCCAAGGGAACAGGGGCTCCTTTCCCACTGCTGCAGCAAACAACCCGGCTGGGAAAGCCGGGAATTCCTTCCAGAAAAATCCGAAGGGAAGCTGAGACTCGGTGACTTTGCGCTCCTCTTTCCTCCCTGTCCCCGCGGGGGCTCAGAGAGGAGCTCCCCAACCCCACCACCTCATTTCCTCAGCACCATTCCCAGGATTTTCAGGATTCCATGGGAAAAGGGGGTGAAGGGCGAGCGAGGGCCGGGGTTTGGTGCCGAGCTCACCCGCTGGCGCAGCGATTCCGTCTCCTCCTGGTACGCCAGCAGCTGCTTCTTCCACTGGTCCACGTTGGCGTTGGCCTCGTGCAGAGCGGCCACCAGCTTGTTGTTGTTGTCCTGGAGGCTGAAGAACTCGGCCTCCCACTGCACCTCGCTCACGGAGCTGGGGACAGAGCAGGGGAGATTCAGAGCAACCCCATTCCCTGTGATTATTATTGGTTTTTATATCATATATAATATATACAGAGACTGAAGAGCTCGGCCTCCCACTGCACCTCGCTCACAGAACTGGGGACAGAGCATGGGAGATTCAGAGCAACCCCATTCCCTGTGATTATTGTTGTTTTTATATCATATATAATATATACAGAGACTGAAGAGCTCGGTCTCCCACTGCACCTCGCTCACGGAGCTGGGGGACAGAGCAGGGGAGATTCAGGAAGAGCAACCCCATTCCCTGTGATTATTATTGGTTTTATATAATATATATCATATATCCAGAGGATGAAGAACTCGGCCTCCCACTGCACCACATTAGAGCAGAGCTTGCCTTGGCTGAAGGCCGGGCTCAGGAGAAGGCAGCAAAGGACGCTTTGCTCCTGATTTAAAAATACTCCAAGCATTCAGCTGGGAGCTCGAGAGGAGCCACAGGGCAGAATCCAGCCCCGAAGCCTTTTGAAGAGACAAAGAGAGGAAGCAGCAGGGATTTTGCTGGAATCACCAGGGGAATTAACACAAACACAACCCTGGGCCAGCTGGAAAAGTGTGAACATCCCCTGGTATCACGAACCACTGATCCGGAGATAACTGGCACGGGGCATCCTCCTTCCCACGCTGCAGAATTTCCAAGCTGGAATAACTTCCCGCTGGGAAAAAAGGGGGAGATGGATCCCCTGGAGGGTCTGAGCAGCGGCTGTGGGGCTTTACTCAGGAGAATTAAAAGAGCAGAAGGGGTCAGGATGATTTGGGATGACAAATCCTGCCA